CAACATTATTTCGTAAAAAAAGACATGGGTCTTTATTATCCAACAACTTTGATGGGTTCTGCTCGTTATAATTATTTATTTAAGGGTAATACCTACTCCGTCGATAATAATAAATGCATTTGTTTAAATGAAGTCTGCAAACTTGTTCACCAGAGAACATGAATAATTTGGACAAATGGTGTTAATTATCCCATGCACGTACAAGTTTCCAAACCCGCACGACGTCGACTAATACCATATCAAGTCCATACGCACATAAATGTCGTCTTTAAAAGATAGTTATTGTACAAAATGGTTTATTTTTTAGAGTTAGGGTGGCAAATGAACTTGGAGCTGGTAATGGAAAAGGAGCAAGATTTGCAACGATCATATCGATCACGCAGTCGTTAATGATCGGATCATTCTTCACAGTGTTCATAGTGTTTTTCCATGACCAAATCGGTTCGATATTTTCTTCAAGTGAAACTGTTTTGAAAACAGTCGATAATCTTTCTGTTCTATTAGCCGTCACAGTTCTTCTCAACAGTGTCCAACCTGTTCTTTCCGGTATGCATCCAAATAAAAATTTAGTTTTAATTTTTGATAAACCGGGTCAACGGAAAAGTGCTGACTTTTGACATTTGAATTGATTAAGGAGTTGCGGTTGGTTCCGGTTGGCAATCCTACGTGGCGTATGTAAATTTGGGATGCTACTACCTTATCGGGCTTCCGCTTGGGCTTATCATGGGCTGGAGTTTCAAGTTTGGAGTGAAGGTAAGCCAACTTATCTCCTACTTATTTTATTACTTTCTCCCAAAACTCTAATAATGTATATACTCATGATAAATTGAGCTCAATGTAGAGGTCAAAGACACATCTAAAACAAAGTGAAACCATGGCCGATCCTCAAGCATGAGTTTGCAACATTCTAAACATCAGTACTGATTTTGTTTACAAAACGACCTATTTTTCTGTATAAAATGTGCAAAACGGCGCTTTATATTTTCTTTAACTTGCGGTCTTCTAAACTTCAGAGTCGGATATCTCCTATCACGAGATTACATAATAGTCTGGTCCAGAACATATGTAAGTGAAGTGACCGTTTAAAGGGTCACATGTTTAAACACTAATTTTAATCTCGCGCACGACATCCATAAACATTGGCCGACAAGTCACCCAAACAATCACATCCCATACAGACTATATATGAATAATCCAAATCCTGTCCGCACACGATTTATCCTTTTTTGGTTGTTGCTGTGTATGGTTTGGCACTAGAAAGCTTCCACTAATAGAAGCTTTTTTGCCCATGATGACATGGCATGTTGCTATCCATAGAAACTTGACAAATGCTGATGGAAACCTCTTAACTCCATCGGCTACAACCTGCATGATTGAGCAAAATAACTTTATTTGAAATATGAAAACATTCTTTACTATTACACCTAAAGTGGCAAACACATGGGATTGATGCTGAAAAAGTTGATCTTGATTCGACATTAAAAGCATACTGATTTTTCTCTAATAACTGACATTTTTTTTATGTGAATACAAAGAGTGCACGTGATGATTTTT